ACCTTTTCACGCAGAAGTTTATTCTTTTGAAATATGTCATCATGAAAGACGACGGACATTCTGCTACCCAAGATAAACATCTGGATCGACCTTCCAAAGCTCTTCTGTATTTGAATCCATTTCCGCACAGCTGTGACCAATGTGGGACAAGTTCCAGCTGGCCCCAGAACGTTTAGGAATTCATCAGCGTGTCCATAAATTACAACTGTGATCACTGTGGTGTGATTTTTACACATTTGACATGCCATCAGGGGGATCCACACTGGAGAAAAGCTCTCCATCTGTGACCACTGCAGGAGAAATTTCCGTCACTTAATTTAAAACTTCATGTGCGCATCCGCTGGAGGAAAGCCCTACAGCTGTGACCTGCATGAGGAGAGATTCAGGCATTTAGAAACTCACCAGAAAACATCCTTAGGTATTATAAGTAACCATCATCAACTCACCCTCTAACAACATCTTAAACTAGGAAGCGGTTTAAATCCGTTTCGAATTCACAAAGTATTAAAATCAGGGTCTGATCTGCATGGAACAATGCTGGGACTGCTTCCATTAGTAATATTCGACTTGTTGGATCAACTTGGCCTGATTGTGCAGCGTTTGTGGTGTGTTGCGGGACTAATGGGCTTGCTGCCTGTTCAACGTGACGTTCAGCCAATCAGAAAGCTAGGTGACAGAAGCAAACTACATGGAGTGAGTGGTATCCAAATCCTCCTCTTCTGCCATGTTTTTCACTCTGAATTCACATTTGACCTTGAGAGGATAAGTGAGATTTGTGAGTGAAACGAGTTGGTGTGTGGAATGTGGTTGAACACCACACCACGTAAGATCAAAACTGTTATATCAACGATCTTTTTACTACCACACGTAGTCTCTGATGTTTTGGAAAAATCCTGACAACGTTAAAATCTTGTCGTGTGAACCAGGCCACACCAGCTGTCCAAACCATGTCAGCTGACTTTTTTTTAGATGTGGAGGAGCTCCTCTGAGTAGCTGAGCTCCTAACTGTTTCTTGGAGGGTTGGTCTATTCATCGTACGAGGGAAGCTCCTATCTTGGGTCTGGACCACAGATCCATTAGTAACTTGACAGCTTCAGCAGATTGCTACAGGGTTCGCCTCACTGCAGATGCTGCAACAGTCTGCCGATCAATCTCCTGCTCCATTCTATCCTACCTCATCAACAAGACCCAAAGATATTTGGTGCAGAAACTCGTTTCCAACCGCGTTGGTAATCAATCTTTAAAACACTCCCAAAACTAAAGCATCCAATAAAATCCAGATTCAGAACTTTACAGATGCACTTCAGCTGGTCAACCTCCAGTTAGATGAAAAATAAAACAAGTAAAGAAGAAACACCTACAGAAATGAATAATTTATTGGTATGTACTATACGTTCTGCTCTGTGGGGTCTGCTGAAAGGAGCTCACTGAGACACACAACACACCCGTTTTCTCTCTCACACAAAGATTAGATGCAAACATCTCAGTTCTTCCTGGATCTTCTGAGCCTGAGCCAGGAAAGATTGCCTTTATCCGATAACACAGTTGGGAAAACTCTCATTGAACCAAATCTCTGAGCTGAACTCTTATTGAACAGCCTATTGGTTTTTTTTTTTTGTTTTTTTTTTTTTTTGTTTTGTTTTTTTTTTCAAAACTCGGCTGCTTTCATTCTCTAACCTGCTTTATTTTGTATGTTTAATTCTTAATACTAGTATTAAAAACCATCTATATGATCATTCCTCCGGTGAAACAGATCTAATTTCTCAGCTGTTTCTGCTTCAGTAGCCTAAAAGAGAGCTGATTAATTCAGTAACTGATATTCTTCTCTTGCGTTGGAGCATTTGCTCACTTATAACTTCATCCTAATTAGTGGTGCACAGAAGCTTTTGCAAGTTTAATGCAGTCAAGAAAGAAGAAAAACGTCCCCTGAGTTTTCCTGTCCTACATACAGGAAACAACAATCAAGCTGACAAAAATTTGGGAAGCATCATATTTAAGTTTTGTGGGATCTTTTCAATCTGAAGAGTTACAGATCTGCGAGGAAGACATGGGGGAGGAAGAAATGTGGCGAGAGATTAAAACGGACATAAACACTTTTCTTTTAAAGACGTCATTTTTTAGACTTCATATTTAATTTTAAAGGAGCTGCTGCACAGGTGATTCAACCACTGAATTAAGTGGGTTGGAGCAGAGAAACCACTAAAACATGCTGCATACCGGGCCTCCAGCACCAGAATTTAGGCCCCTGGTTTAGCTGGAGCTTCAACATTGATCTCAGTGATTGATGGGTAAGAAACTTGCCCAGTTTCCTCCTGCAGCCAAAAAACTGCACTTGATAGCTTTGTGAAGTGGGCAGGTGCCCTATGGGGTGCTCATTACATGCTTAAGGCTGTTTGCTGTAATGTTAGCTGTTGGTATTTTTAGTTTGTCGATCGTCAATAAAATACACAAAAAAACTGAAAAAGAAGTTTGCTTTTCTGCTGGTATCATGGCGGAGCCTGGAAGTAAAAGTAAGAGAGTAATGTCTTTTGAGGCGAAGCAAAGGGCTAAAACCAGAATGAACATCGGCACGGCCTGCACTAGCTTGAGGGAGCCAAAGGAGGCTACAAAAGCACGGACTGATGGTGACCTGGCACTGTTGCTCCTGGACTTGTAAGTTATGATATATTTTGTCCAACAGTGTGGATCATTTTACTTCATGGTTTACTTAAGTATTAATTGGCTCATGTTAGTGTTAGCTCGTTGTTAGCGCTAGCTACTGCAGGGCTGCTTTCGGCAGTTGCAATTCCACTTTCAAGCAGTAGGGCAGAGCAGCAGGAAACTGCTCTGTTACTTTAAAAACAAGAGTTCATATTATTTCAAGTATTGCTTTGTTTTTACTGTGTTATTGTTGATTTTAATATTACTTTTACTGCAGCTTTTATTACTTTTATTGCTGTTTAATGATGTTGCTTTTCTTAAAGATTGCTCAGCACTTTGGTCAATCTCTGTTTTTAAATGTTCTTGACAAAGTAAGCTGATTGATTGACGTTCTACTATAATTCGTTTAGCCCCAGATAAACAATGTTCCGTGCACTAAACAGCTAACGAATTGACATTTTTATTATTTATGATTAGCAGCAATTATATTTTTAATCAAATTAAAGAAAGCCAAATGACCATTTAAAATGCTTATTTTTATGCCAAATTATATATCGCACAAGCTACAAAAGGTGTTCTGTTGAATTTTTTCCTCAAATAAACTTTAATTCATAATTTCCACTATTTCTCGTCTGCAGGGTTAAATGGTAAATTAGCTCTAAAATCCACTCCTTCCATGTCCAGCACATGTCCTCCTCCCTCTGTTCTCTGCAGTAAAACCACACATGAGGTGATTTATTAGAGCTTCATAGCAAAACCCTGCTAAGCTGGCTTTTCGTGGCGTTGCTGATAACACTAAATGCTTTATGGCGGCAGCCATAAATTATCCTGCAGCCTCAGATACAATGTGTAAGGGAGGTGGTGAATGGAGGGGGAGGATGATTCAGGCTGCAGCTTTATTTATGAATCAGGGGAACCTGAGATCTGTTAATGTGCCTGATGCCGTTTGTTCTTTAATTAAAACATGACTAAACTCACAGGAAGTTCAACATCTTCCACTAATATCATTGAAGAATGAACACAATGTTCAACAATGTCCCGTCAACTAATGCCACATCATGATAAAATTGTTACTCCTGCACACAGTAAATGAGTTCACGTTTTTAATGAAACATCTGGGAAATGTTCCGTCTGCTTTTAAAAAGTTTTATTTTTTTTGCAGATTTTTCCAGAGCAATTTTAGAAATTAAACTCTACTCCTAGTCTCTTTAACAGAGTGCATCCCTTTGGAAACAGTTGGATGAACACAAATTACTCCAACGTTTGACGAGCATCTCCAATATTCAGCCTGACAGCAGACGCAGAGATCACTGGGCTCAATAATTGGCTCAATAATGTGTAAAATCATTAAAGATACTTAAAAGAAACAACTTCAGCTAACCATAAAGATGTTTCATTTTAAAATTTTACCACAAAATATTGCAATCCACATAAAAATGTGCCTAATCTATTATAACATTCTCCTTTTTTTTAACCAGAGAAACTCATTCCAGGTCATCATCTCCTCCACGCATCATTGCCAGAAAAATTAAGAGTTAACTAAGACGTGGCTGTGCAACGCTGCCATCTATGTCACAACAATTGCGTTGGAAAGTTTTATTTTGAAAATACTTCAACCAGACATAAAAGAGTGGAGCTAATTAAGGATGTCAAAGGTTTGGAAAAGAAGTGATGCTTCTTCCAACTGGCAGCACCGGGGTGAACAAACTCTGCTCACCAAAAAGGAGGAGATTTTTGCATAATTAATAATGTGACATGTGTACTGTATCTAAAATGTTGTTTTCCTCCCACACTGACAGTGGGAATTTTAGATGTTCAATTTCCCTGAACTAAAATAAACACATGCCCGTGATGACATTTAAACACTCATTAACAAACCATTTTCCCCTTGACTATTCAATTTGCTGCACAATGATGGGTTTATGGGTTTGGCTGTGCAGATAGTTTCAGTGGGAATCAGCACCGCCCACATAGATGATTTTATGGAGTATTCAGCAAACACACAAGGATGAGCCAACCATGCAAATACTTGAGGAAAAAGAAAAGGCGTGGAAAAGATTCTCCTACTGTTTTTTGAGACCTTGCTCATCCTCCCACTCTGTTAACCATTAGCAACCATATGTTTTTCCTGAATAAAATAAACAGACTATTTTTATTATGATACTGCTTTTAGTAAATTTGTTCGTTAGTAAATTATTATTAGTAAAATGCTAAAGATTACATCAACAAAATTGATATGTTTTTATTATTCTGGTTAAAAAGAAATTCCTTCTTTTTTTGTTGCAAAGCCAGAACGTCCATATTCAGAAATGAGCCAACAGCATAACACACAGCTTTGTCCTGGATTCAGTTTTGCTCACTTCCTGAAGGTTGGGATGGATCCCTGCAGGGATCGTCCTGGTGACATCCCTGACCCGTGGCTTTGTCCTGAAATCAAGCTGTCTGTTTCAAAGGCGAACATCCCATCACGGTCGTCTGGAACATCCAGGAACTCTCCTTCACCCCAATTTCCCATTGAGCTGTCCATCGGTTGGTATTTTATGTCGATGGTGACATTGGTCTGAAAATGAAAGAAGTTTGGAGGAAAATTACTTTAATAAATGAGCACTCATGTAACTTTCAGCTGTCATTATAAATGTTTATGTTCATGTATTTAGCAGACCTTTTGTCCAAAGCGACTTAGAAGTTATAATCGGCATGTTGCCTTTGAGGCTAACAACAACAATAACAACAACAACAAACAATGTCCAGTCAGTTGTAGGTGGCCGTGAGGCAGCATGATGAATCATGGAGAGAAGGGAACAAGGAGTGGACAGTAGAGAGGGGGGACGGGTGCAAGGAGGGTGCTAGTTTAGAAGATGCTCTCTGAAGAGCAGGGTCTTCAGGAGTTTCTTGAAAGTCAAAAAGGAAGCCTCTGTTCTGGTAGTGCTTGGAAGGTCGTTCGACATTTGTTGAATGATGCATGAGAAGAGTCTGGATGGTCCTGAGCGTGGTGTAGGCACTGCTAGCCAACAATCCTGTGGTGATCGGAGCGGCCGGGCCGAGACGTAAGCCTTTGCAAGAGGATTCAGGAAAATGGGAGCCGTACCATCTCGGACTTTGTATGCTAGTGTTAGCAATCTGAATTTGATGCATGCTGCTAGCGGTAGCCAACTAGGTCACAGAGGGGTGACATGTGCCCTTTTTGGCTGATTGAAGACCAGACGCGCCGCTGCGTTCTGGACCACTTGAAGAGGTCTCACAGTACAGCCTGGAAGACCAGTTAGAAGGGCATTGCAGTAATCGAGGTGGGAGATGACAGTAGAATGCACCAGGAGCTGGGTGGCATGTTGTGTTTAGTATGGTCTGATCTTTCGAATGTTATACAGCACAAAGCGGCATGAACGAGCAACAGAGGCAACATGATCTTTAAAGGTCAGGTGTTCATCAATCACAACACCCAGATTTCGAACTGCCTTTGAAGGAGCCAGAGATAGGAAGTCATTTTGGATTGAGATATTGTGCTGTATGGATGGTTTTGCTGGGATGACAAGTAGTTCAGTTTTAGAGAGGTTGAGTTGGAGATGGTGGGATTTCATCCATTTTGATATGTCAAAGAGACAATTTGTTATTTGTGCAGAGACAGTGTGGTCGTCCGGTGGAAATGACAGATAGAGTTAGGTGTCGCCTGCATAGCAGTGGTAGGAGAAGCCATGTGATTGAATGATCTCACCCAGTGAGGTGGTGTTTATGGCAAAGGGAAGAGGTCCTAGTACAGAGCCCTGGGGGACTCCTGTGGCAAGATGGTTCACGGTAGATGATTGTCCAAGCCAAGATACACTGAATGATCGTCCTGTGAGGTACGATTCAAACCAGGCGTGTGCTTTCTCTGTGATGCCCATGGTAGAGAGTGTGGACAAAAGGAAGCCATGGTTGACAGTGTCAAATGCAGCCGATAAGTCGGGCAGGATAAGCACTGAGGATTTGGCGGTCGCTCTAGCTTCTTTTGAGGATTCCATCACTGCTAACAGAGCAGTTTCAGTGGAGTGGCCCTTTTTGAACCCAGATTGATAAGGGTCAAGCAGACAGTTTTGTGAGAGGTATTCTGTGATCTGCTTGAAAGCCACTCTCAATGATTTTGGACAGAAAAGGGAGGAAAGAGATAGGTCGGTAGTCCTCCACATGATTTGGAGGAAGATATGTTTTTTTTTTTTTTAGCAGCGGTTTAACCTGACCATGCTTGAGAGAGGTGGGAAATGTACCGGATGTCAGTGAAGCGTTGATCACACGTGTGACTGCTGCGGCTACTGTAGGAGCAATAGCTTGGAGCAGCTTAGTCGGAATGGGGTCAAGTGAGCATGTAGTAGGGCGGCTGCACGTGAGAAGCTTGGACACACAGTTCTCAGTGACAGGGGAAAAAGAGGAAAATGAAGCAGTAGGGCCTGAGATGGTTGGGCTAGAAGGAGTTTGTGGTAGCAAATGTTCAGGAGTGGCCAGTTGAGTAAACTGTTTGCTTATAGCTGCCACTTTGTCAGTGAAGAGTGAGGCAAAGGTGTCAGATGATAGACTGTTGGTAAGAGGTGGAGACGGAGGGTTGAGCAGAGTTTTGAATGTCGAAAATAGTTTCTGAGAGTCAGTAGAGCTGAGAATTTTGTCAGTGTAGAAAGCTTTCTTTGCATCAGTGATGCTGGCAGAGAATGAGGACAGTAATTCATGAAATTTCAATTGATCACCAGGATCTTTTGTTTTGCGCCATTTCCGTTCCGCAGCTCCAAGATTGGTGTGTAGAGACCGGAGGGTATCATTCAGCCAAGGGTGCGACTGAGAGGATCTAGCAGGTCTAGTGGCTAAAGGGCACAAGCTGTTAAGACAGGAGCAGAGTGTGGAGCAGAGTGACTCAGTGGCTTCATTCACTTCATAAGCAGAGAATGTGCTGGGAGATGGAAGAGTGGAGGCAACAAGAGAGGAGAAGTGGTTAGGTGCCAGATTACGGAGGTTGCGGCGGAATGAGACTATTGGGGAGGAAGCAGTGGACCTCCCTTGTAGAGTCGAGCTGAAATGGATGAAGTAATGATCGGAAAGATGCAGCGGTGTCACAGAGATTGTGTCTATGGCACAGTTTCTGGTGAAAATGAGGTCAAGTGCTTTTCTAGCTTTGTGATTTGGAGGACTTTGTACTAGTTTTAGATCAAATGATGACATCAGTGGTAGGAAGCCTGACGAGCTGGGATTGTCCAGGTGAATATTTCTGTCTCCAAGGACCATTGTGGGACAGTCGTGCTCAGGAATGGAGGAGAGCAGGGTGTCGAGTTCATCAAGAAATTCTCCGAGTTGACCTGGTTGGCGATATATGACAACCAAAAAGACTTTTTTGGTACAGTTACCTGGATGGCATGGTATTCAAAGGAGTTGTATTTAGTGATGGGTAGCAACTGACTGTATATCCATTTGTTGGAAATTAACATGCCCGTTCCACCACCTCGGCCAGATGCACAAGAAGTGTGGGAGAAAATGTGGTTAATTGAGAGAGCAGATGGGGTAGCATTGTCACATGGTTTGATCCAGGTCTCAGTGTTTATGTTTATGTATTTAGCAGACGCTTTTGTCCAAAGTGACTTATAAGTGATAATTGGCATGTTGCCCTTGAGGCTAACAACAACATTAACAACAACTTGACATCAATCATGGAGAGGAGGGAACAAAGGAGTGGATAGTAGAGAGGGGGACGAGTGCAGGGAAGGTGCTAGTTAAGAAGATGCTCTCTGAAGAGCAGGGTCTTCGGGAGTTTCTTTGTAAGTGATAGAGTGACAGGTGGTTTGCATATGCGGTAATGAAGTTTGCTTTGTTTACAGCTGATTGGCAGTTCCATAGTCCCATAGACAGGTGGGTGTTTTCGGGGAGAATTGGTTTTAGCGAGCGGAGGTTTTGAAGATTGCGAAAGTGGTTTGCTTTGTGTGACCTTCCTCTGGAGCCAGTGATCACAGATATAGGATGATGGCACATTTTGCAAGGTGTCAATGGAGCAGCATCTGGGTTGAGTTTGTTTGCTCAGTGTACCTGCTCTGTGGACAAGCATAGGTAGACACGTATGTCTTTACCTCGGAGTGTCTTCACACCGGAGGGACTGAGACACAAGGGCTGATGCTTCAGTACACACATTTATTTATAATAATATCAGGATTCCCAATGATCTTCCAGCTCAACTTTAACACAGAAAGTCTTATGAAAGTCATGTATCACACATAAAGCAAGTGTTTAAAGTGACAACAGATTGTTTTTTTTTTTTTTAACTTTAAAGAGTTAGGTGGGTTAGAGTTTGATATTTGACACCACTCTGCAGGTGTCTGCTGACTAAAAACCACACTTGATAGTTTTGTGGAGTGGGAAGGTGTCCTAGGGGGTGCTCTACCTTTTTTACAGATGTTAGCTGTAATGCTAGTGGTTAGCATTTTCAGTTTGCGGATTGTCAATCAAGAGCAGAAGAAGAAAAAGAAGACGTTTGTTTTTCTGCTAGCACCATGGAGGAACCTGGAAGTAAAAGTAAAAAAGTATGTCTCTCGAGGTGAAGGAAAGAGCTTAACCCAGAGTGAACATCGGCGCGGCCTGCGCTAGGAAGCTAAAGGAGGCTACCAACTCACAGACAGATGTGACCTGGCTTTGTTGCTACTGGACATGTCAGTAATAAAATTTTTGTTCAACAGTGGGGATCTTTTTACTTCTTCTTTATTTTAGTATTTGTTGGTTCATATTAGTGTTAGCTCATTGTTAGCACTAGCTACAGCAGGGTTGTTTACGATTGCTGTAATTCCACTTTCAACCAGTAGGGCGGAAGAGCACGAAACTGCTCTGTGTTACTTTAATTTGTCTGTGTTTAGTTGAGCTGACTCAAAGTTTTGTATGGCAGATGTGCTGATGCTCATCCAGACTGAAAGGGTGACATTTCCTTTTTCATCCTCCACTTCAACCTTGTTTCCATGCTACTTCAGTTAAGTCCAATAATCTTCATCAAGGTGTGAAAAACTTAGCAAACCATCTTTTAGTTGCATAGCTTTATGAATCTGTACAGGCCCCTGTTTTATAATTACTTGGTTATTTACTTGTGAATGACTATTCAGCTGTGGATTATTTTTGCTTTTATTACTGTTTTCTGCTGGTTCCATATAACCTATATTGTGTTTTATGACTAAAACTGAAGGATGATTTTGACTTTTCTCATAAAACTTTACTGCTTTGAGCTTTTTGCCACACTGTACGTTAAAAAACAAGTTTTCCATATTGTATACACGCTTGCATCAATAAATCATCTTCTCTCCCTGTTGACTGGAGTGAGGGACATTTTAATGCAGGTCAGAAATGTGGCCAACGCTGTGGTTTGTCTTTACTGGCTTCACTGGAACCATGTTGGGACAAATCCTTCTGATGATGACCAGAGCGTCCAATTTATTCCTCTGACAAAGACAGATGAGGAGAAAGCATGCTCCTCCAGACACTTTTCTCCCTACATCACATACTCACCAGACAATGGTTGCGATCCACCAGGAGTTGGATTGGTTACCATGGCAACAACACTAGTGCACATACTTTTAGGAAATGTGTAGTTTAGCTTTACTGCTCTCCTGCTACATGAATTTGAAGTGTAGCTTGGGTGTGCATGTGTGTGTGTGTGCATGTGTGTGTGTGCGTGCGTGCGTGTGTGTGTGTGTGTGTGTGTGTGTGTGTGTGTGTGTGTGTGTGTGTGTGTGTGTGCGTGTGTGCGTGTGTGCGTGTGCGTGTGTGTGTGTGTGAGAACCCGGGAGCATTCCCATGCAATGTTTCATCATCACAGAAGCGTCTCATCAGCACTCCCAGCTCCACCAACACCAAGCCCTACGGTGGTTTTAAATTTGAGATGGTTTGTTTTTTCTGTACGCATCCGATCCAGCGAGCCTCATTCTCCCAGGCATAATGAGTCGTACATTAGCCTCTCACCACAGATTCAGAACCTCCTCCGTACCACCAAGCTGCTCGGAGTGTAATTTTAAATCAATAGAATATCTGGATCAATGTTGTTGCTGAGAATCTGCTGAGGTTGATGCCAGAGCAGATTTTTTGATGATGTAAAGTCTGTTTTTGCATAACTTTACTTAATGTTGCTTAAGGGGATTTTCAAGATATTGCTTTAAGCTAATTTTTGTTCTTTGTGCATTTAAATCGTGTCTTTGCAAATAGATTTGAGCACTGAGTGGGAAAAATAATGCATATTAAAAAAAACTTTAAAACAGAACCTGCAACATTTACAATTATGAAACATAATTGTAAATGTTTGACTGAAAAGAAATCAGTCAAGTCAGTTTTCTAAAGTTTTTATCAAGAGTAACGTTTTTTCTAAGTTAGTGTATCATCTTAAAGATGTATGCAACTTTTTCAATTTTTAAAAATAATTATCTTCAGTCACTGCATCAACTTGATGAAGAAATACTAAATCAGCATTGTTTAACTGAACAATCACATGATAATAAATCACAGTGCATTTAGTGCCAACCACAGCCTTAAGACATGTGTTGAACGTGCCCAAGTCCGTACTTATGAGAGCACCATGTGAGCAGCTGTGTGTGTACACATGCTTGTTTATGTAAGGTTTCTCTATAGGAGCGTCCAATAGAGAGTGTGAGGGGCCACAGATCTGCACCCTAAAGATGCATAGGAGACGGAGGGAGCTCCAAGTCCCAGATATCCAGGAGCTGCCCCAGAGCACAGGGACCCCAGGGAGACTGCAACCAGAAAGGCCCCTGCCCCCCTGGAGAGGCGTAGAGGATCGCCCCGGGGGGCCACAACCAGCAGCTGGCAGAGTCTCGGGAGATATTAGCGGCAAGCCCACAGGCCCGCCCGCACCCTCCCACCCCCCAGCCGGCCGAGCCCAGGACTCAGCAACCCGGGACCCAGGGGCAACCACCCCCGCCGGGGACCCAGCAGAGCCCAGGGACCCAGACCCCACCAAGCAGCCACCGGAATTGATCAGGCAGACGCCAAAAATCTTAAACTCCCTGACCCGGGAGCCACGACCAGGCAGGCCAAGGCACCACACTCCACACCAGGTGTGGCAGGGGGAGGGGAGACAAAGATCTATATCATCAAAAGAAGTCCCAGGAGAGGGGAGGAGTCAAAGGCCCCACCTGACATATACAGTCATACACAAACACAGTCACACACTCCCTCCCTCATGCTCACACATGCACATACAACCAAAGACTTACAAAAATGCACGCCGGACACCCACTCATGTTCCCCATACACACCCTATTCACTCTGGTCCCGGTACTGCTGCACATGGGGTACAACCATTACCGGTTACCAGAGTTTGACCCTTTCTGCTGGGGGTGCTGATGAGCAGGCTCCCCCGCCCAACGCCGAGCACAGCAACCCACCACCCCAGACCCCAACCAGACAGCCAGATCTCCCTCCTAACCACCAGGCCCGGGAAGCCAAGCGACAACAGAGGTGTGCTAAGACCCCTAGTCTCCCTCCGCCTGCTCCAATATAGTGTTAGTGTGTGTTGATGAGGTGTATTCCATGGCTGTGGTGAGCGGGCAGTGCGGGCATCGTCTGGCATTCAGAGTATCTTGACCAGTCTGTGTTAGTCAATAGTAAAGCAGCTAGATGACGTACTAGCGCTGGAGTCTGTATGTTTTAGATCATGAACACAGCTGATTTGTTTGATTTTGTGATAAAGCACTCTTATTGACACTAATGAAGGCTGGAGAAACATTTCAACAGTTAGATTAAGGTGTTAAAAAGTCAAACGCACAGCGAGGAGCCAAGTTTCACTTTGGTTTGCTGACAGAAAATTAATAACGGGCACTAGGGGGTGCTGAAAGCAAGTAAATTGCTTAGTATCCCTTTTATTTACAATTTTGACAACTATTTCAAAGTGCAGATTCATAATGTGAACTAAAAACATGCATTTTTCTTCCTATTTTTGTGTTACAACTACGTGCAGCCAACCCTTAACTCCAACAGGGTTCACACCGTCTGTAATGGAGCCTTTATTTAAAGATTAGTGGGAATTTATTCAGTTTTTATTTGCCAACATGTGCATTTTATATCATATATTTATGTTGTCCTGAAGGTTGTAGACTAAATATTATTGCTTTATTGCGCTCAATCCTCCTTTTAGATTGAGTGAGGAACCGTTCCTGTAGAAAGTAACTAAGGCTGGGAAGACATTTCAACATTTAGGTTAAGGTGTTAAAAAGACGGCGAGATCAGTTTCACTTTTGGGTTTTTTACAGTAATTAATGACGGACTCTAGGGGGTGCTAAAAGCAAGTTAAAACTTCCAAGTGTGCCTTTAATTTTTCAAGCGTCTGCACTTTATTTCCTCTCAGCACGTTCCTTACATGGGCCAATGTTTAAAATATTTACGTGGTGAATTTAAAAAAGAGACCATGCTTTGCTTAAAATTGGATTAATGGGCAATCTATCAATCTGTTTCCCTCGCAGTGAATCGTTTTTGGTTAGAGGTGCAATAACAAACTGCAGAGTGACCAACAAACTGCATGTGGCCTGATATTCTGAGGTTGCTTGTGTGTGAATCACTTTCCAAACATCCTGTCAGTTCATTCCTCCAATAATGTAATTGCTACACGTGCACTAACATTGTAGTGATCATTTTATTGTGCAAAACAAGCTATTTTAGCACAATGAGCCTAATTTTCTGATATGCAGAACTGTCTACCGCAAGATCTTTTTCAGCATTCTCAGGCTCTTTCCAGACAGATAAAATGCAGTATTAATAAGAGGAGGGTTTTCTGACAACACAGGAAATCACAGAAAATAAAATGACTAATGGTCAATTTGAAAATAAACTCTTTATAAAGCCAACTGCTGTTTGTTCCTCCGGTCATCAGAGTCATCTTTTGTAATGAAGGTTAATGATGCATGTGGCTGCACAATTTGGCAGAAAGTAACAGCTGCAGCACTCTGCCAGGTTTTTAACTTTTTATTCAACTGCTTGAATAATTGTGAGAGTTCACCTTTATGGAGGTGTTGTTGTCATCAATGAGCGTGTCAGTCAGCTCCAGATGTCCCTCTTCAGCCACCTTCTGCAGCACCATGCAGAAGGTCCCAATCAGTCTGCAGGAAGATGCATAAAAAAGGGACAATGAATGTAAACAGAAAAGGTTACATGGGGTTATAGGTATTTATAGCGTTGTTTTAGGTCTCACTGAGTCACTGTCACATTGCTTCTTCCTTCTTAGTTACACTAATATATAAGGGAAGCTGTGTTTCTGCTCACCGGAGGCATCTTTTCTCCACCGAGTTTCATTTTTCGCAGTGTGGAGGTGAGTGAGTTACAAAGAGATGGTGCTATAATGAATGGAGACACACTGAGAAGCTGTTTTTATCCCCACCTCACTTTACTGTCAAGAGCCCACCTGGAGCGGGTACTCCATGCTTTTGTAATTTCTAGGCTTGATTACTGCAACTCTCTATATGCAGGGTTGTGTCAGTCAACACTGCGTCGCCTACAGGTTGTGCAGAACAGCGCAGCCAGGTTCCTGACTGGGACCAGGAAACGAGACCACATCAGTCCGGTTCTGGCCTCCCTGCACTGGCTTCCGGTTTGCTATCGTTCACACTTCAGACTCCTCGTCTTTGTTTACAATTTCTTCCAGGGTGGTGGTCCCCCCTATCTGGCCACGCTCCTGAACAGACATTCCCCATCACGCGCTCTGCGCTCCTCTGACAAAGGCCTGCTCGTTGTCCCTCGTTCTAGGTGTCGTACTCGCGGGGACCGGGCTTTCTCAGTCCTAGCACCGTCACTATGGAACCAGTTGCCACCCTCAGTTAGGCTGTCCCCATCTCTGCCAGTCTTCAAGAGTCGCCTAAAAACCCACCTCCTCCGCTTGGTTTTCCCTGAATGTATTTGAGTTAGGCCGTCATTTATGTTGATTTTATCTCACAATTTTCATTGGTTCACTTTTTCCCTTGTTATACACATTTGTCTTCTACTAGAATGTTTCACCTTTTTTTGTAATTTGTAATCTGTAATTTGAATTGCTTTTATTTTCCGATTTATTCACTTTATTTAACTTTGTACTGTTCCATGTTCAGCACCTTGAGCTTCCTGACAGGGTTGCGGAAGGCACTTTATAAATAAAGCTTTGATTGATTGATTGATTGATTGATTGATTGATTACAGAAAATCACACCTCAAATCAATGCATCTAGTGGCTGCAGAACACACAGAAACACACTCAGAGGTGTCGTTTACATTGCTTCAGATCTGCATAGTTGATTTAACTTAAGACATGAGAGCATAATATAAGAATTTTGTTTGTTTTTGTGTTTGGTGATCCAGAATGAGTAATCTGGTAGCTATTGTTATCATCATGTATAACAGATGAATTATGTAGGGGGAGGAGCCAGAAGGTTGGACTCCTCGTTCTACTAATGAAATAGATTAATCTAATCTTAGACCCTAATAATTTAGGAGTAGGTTTCCTCATGAGTGCAGTCTCATCAAATTTTTCATAAAGTCTACTTAAAAGTGGAGAACTCAGAAGGAGAAGTAACAATTTTTATATGGCACCTTGCCAGATAAAAATCACGAGGTGCTTCACAAGAGCGCAAAGCGTAAAAATAAATGATGATTAAATTCATGATGTTTAAAAATAAGTATAAATAAATAAATATAAAAATAAAAAATACATAAATTCACATATATATATATATATATATATATATGTATATGTGTGTATATTTGGGAAGACGGGAGCGATTGGAGGGCGACCCGCACCCACGGAAAGCACTGCCTGGGTGGAGACCTCACAGACTGGGACGTTACTCGAGGTGAATCGTAAGCTGGACAATGTCCTAGCTGTGTTACCGGTGTTAGTGCACAAAATGGATGTCATCTCAAAGAGGGTCACCGGACGGTGTGGAGATGTTTAAAACCTAAATTGGCTTCACTGAGGGACTGGAATGACCAGTTACAGACTGAAGGCAGAGAGGAAAAGTATCTCTGCCTGACCCAAACAAAGTCTTGTTATCCAAATCTGACGCCAAGGCAGCCTTCGAGATGCCAACAACAACAACAACCCCCACGAAGGAAGGAATGCAGACAGATGCTGTGAAAAACCCGACTCCCCCCCGCCTTCTGATTGTGGACTTCTGCCTAGCAAGGTCATCACCCTGCAGGGTCAATGTGCTCTGCGTTCCTCCCAAGATCTCCCTCCCACCTGTGGTCTACAGTGGTTGAGCGCCGTCCATGCCGTACGTGGCTGCTCTCGCTGGGGGAAACAGGATCCCAGCCCCCCCTGCCTTCCTATTGTGATGTTGTGTTGTGTTATCTGTTGCTTATCTGTTGAGGTGTTGTTGTTTTTTTCGCAGAGCAAAGCTGCCCTCCTGGGGGGAGAGTAGCTGTGAAGTGCCTTTTTTTCCCTCCTCCTGAACCCATTCCTCATGTTATCATTTTCTCTCTCTATTAAAGTAGCGCGACTCGGTTGCGAATGACCACAGTCACCAATTCTTGTCATGTGTCTTGCCCAGTGTGTCTGATCTTTGAATTGTATGTACTGAAACTCTAATTTCCCTTCCCTGGGACAAATAAAGCTTTTCATTTTCCTTTTCTTTTATTTTCATATGATTTTAAAACATTTGTACAAAATGTGTTTGTACCTGCACTGATCTGCTCTGATTGGTACCTACTCTGTCTCGTCTATAGCAGCTGCAGCTGTTTCTATTGCCACTTTATATCATTATTTTATCATGATTATATTCTTACTTCCTATATGTTCTTATCTCTTATTTTATCTTCCTTTTATTGCACCCAGCAGCAAGTTTCTAATGTTGTGATTCTTGCACATATGGCAATAAAACCCTTCTGAATCTGAATCGGATCTGATTCTGATTTTGAATCTGATCCTGATTAAGAATCTTATTCTGATCTGATTCTGATTCTGATTCTGGTTCTGGTTCTGATTTGATTCTTATTCTGATTCTGATTCTGATTCTGATCTGATTCTGATTTTGAATCTGATTCTGATCTGATTCTGATTCTGATCTGATCTGATGTGATTCTAATTCTGATTTTGATTCTAGACAAGACATCTGTTTGAGTGTTACCAGATGCCTAATTCTGCAAATGTTTGATCCTGCAGACTCAAGTCACATCCTGGTAGGTCACAGAGGGCAGGGAAGGGGGCGAAGCACACAAATCTCTTGTTTTATTATCATAAACTTTTCATACATCTACAGAAGTAAACAGTAACATTTAAAGTTTTACGTTGATAATAAAATTGAATTAATCCAGCTTTTCTCTGAGGACACGCTGCCGTCTCTGCAGGGACAGTGGGAAGAAACTCAGTCCAGTCCCCATTCAAGCAGCCAATTAGAGCTGGTGAATAATTTAAAGAGTTTCCTTCGTGACAGCACATTGTTTGGAGAGCAATCGGTCTCACATCAAAAATGTGTGCATCTGTCAGCGCGGAGCCACAGCCATGCGCCGTTTCCACCATAACAACCGTTGACCTCCGATAACACAATGTGAGAATAAAGCTGCATTTCCTGTTTCACCCGATGCATGCATGCTATACATATTAGCAATAATGGAGCCATGTTGGAACAAATAACAGTGGCTGGACAAGAGTAGTGACAATCAGATCAGATTGCACACAAAATACAACCTGCACCTGAGTATGAAAAACATTTTTCAGAGACAAACAAAGACAGGAAGTGTGTTATCAGAGAGTTTGTTGCTGTCCCCTCCCTATCCTCTGCTGCCTTTGCCTACATTTGTTATTCCTCTGAAGGCAGAGGCCGTGAAGTCCACCCACTGTAAAAAGTGAAGATATACGATGTAGCACGGCTTTGATAATGAGCCAAATTTCAATCCAGAGCTTGACTTTGAATCCAAGTTTTTCTTTCTTGTGTAAGTGAATCCCCCTAGGCCCTCAAGCGCAGACAGATCCTTTCTCTGTGAAGATGTTCTTCTGTCAGGCTTCTCGATGCAGAACTCCACGCTCAACTTTACAGCTTTTACAGCTCAAGAAAGAATCATGGAGGAAGAAACTGTTTTTCTCTTTTTTTGTGCAGAGCAGAGTCACTGCAGCAAAAACTACTTCCTGTATCGGGTCGGGTTATTGAAATGCTCCGTCAGTGCCTTTCAGTCATTGTAACAAGCTGTGAATAATTCACCTGAGTGAGGCCTATCATGTTCTTTTTAGCATTTCAAAGGGGCAACATTCATTATTGACAAACAATTTACTTTCATCCGCTGTATAATTCAGAGATCCTTTCCTTTTTTAATCTGTATTTTCATCCTTTGCAGTTGTTTTTAAGCAAATCGAGGTTGCAGCAGAACATCTGAATAACTTCAGACGAGGTGAGAGCAACTTTGAAATGCAAAAAAGGAAAATTCTCCACAGCTGCTGGCGACTCAGTGTGGGATTGGACCTTTTCACGTGTGTAATGTTGTGAGAGGAAGCACAAAAAAAGGACCAATCAGAACCTTGGCTTGCAACCTTGGCTGCAATCAATACACCAATGTTTTTCTTCATGCAAACACAGTCTGATGCATAATAGGATTCCTCAACCAGAAAAAGTTATGAAGCCGGGGCTTGTGGTGCCACTCATAAACACTTATTTTAATCGTAGTACAGTGGTTCGGTTCAGTCGCTCTAGCTATGCCTCGAGCCTGCAGGCGGAGTGATGCTCAGTCTTCAGCATGGGACAAAAGGACTCATGAACAAACGTACGGTCTGACCCAGGTATTAAATTTAGTCCAGCTCAATTGCACATTAATATATTCCAGCATCAACTCAGTTTTAAAGATTAAATTAGAACAGCTGATGGAGCTTACACATTTTATTGGACTGCTCTTAATAAATTAGTCAGAACTGTGTATTTTATTTCATGTATGTGTAAATGACTGCTTGCTAAAGTAAGTTTATGGGCAATAGATCAACTTGAATAAAAGTGCTGAATGTTAAAGGTGTGGGAAACTCATATAATCAATACATTTGCAGTGGAATGAACAGTGGTGGGCAGTCAGGGCCAGCAAAGCCTTCTCTGCAGGCCTAAACATACTCAAAAGCGTAAATGTATTTTCTTTCCTTTGGTAATTATTTTTA